GATGTTATGAACCAAGAAATGGAGGCACTCGAAAAAAACTAGACGTGGGAAATTGTTTCTCTTCTAGAAGGCAAAGTTCCTATTGGATACAAGTGGGCTTAAACAATGAAGCATAAAGTTGATGGCTCAATTGAAATGTATAAAGCTTGACTTGTGGCAAAAGGGTATACTTAGCCTTATGGCATCGATTAATAGGAAACATTTGCTCCAGTAGCCAAAACGAATTCAATCCAAATTATTATGTCTCTTACTACCCACTATTCTTGGCCCTTATATCAAATGGATGTTAAGAACGCCTTCCTTAATGGAGACCTTCTAGAAGAAGTTTACCTGAAACTTTCTCTAGGAGTGAACATCCTTGGGAGTGAAGGAAAGGTTTTCCATTTGAAGAAATCCCTTTTATGGCCTTAAATAATCCCTTAAAGCTTGGTTTGATAGATTCAGAAAAATTGTCTTAAAAATTGGCTTCTCACAATCACAAGTTGAGCATGCCCTGTTTATTAGTAGAGCAAATATAAAAATAACTATGTTGATAGTATATGTTGATGATATTTTTATAACAATGGATGATATCTTTGGGATTGCTGAACTGAAGTCTTTCCTTGCTACTAAATTTGAAATTATGGATCTCAAAAATCTTTGGTATTTCCTAGGGATTGAGGTCTTAAGGTCAAAGAGGGGCATTTATATTTCTTATAGGAAATATGCCTTGATTTGCTTCAGGAGGTAGGAAAAGTGGATTGTAAACTGGTTGAAACTCCAATTTGATCCCAATCATAAGTTAGGAGTTGATGATCGAGATGTCCTTGACAAAGGTGTGTATTAGAGATGTGCTTGTCGCTCGTCTTCTATACTTGTACTTGACTAGACTAGATATATCATATTCTATAAGTGTAATCAACCAATACATGCACAAGCCTAGATCATCTCATATGCAAGCAGTGAATAGAATACTTGCCTATTTGAAGGGATGTCCAGGAAAGGGAATGTTGTATTCTAATCATGGTTATTTAAAGGTAGAGGCCTATTTTGATTGGGCAGGTTCTATTGATGATAGGCAGCCTACTTCTAGCTATTGTACCTTAGTGGGTGGTAATGTTGTATTTTAGAGAAGTAAGAAGCAATCAGTTGTGGCTCAATCTAGTATAGAGGTAGAGTACAGAGCTATGGCACATGGAGTCTCAGAATTGTTGTGGCTAAAGAACTTGTTGACAGAAATGAGAGTGCAGATTGATACTCCAATGTCATTATATTGTGACAATCAAGCTGCCATAAACATAGCCCACAACTCTATTCAACATGATCATACAAAGCATATATAGGTTGATCGACATTTCATTAGAGAAAAAGTTGCTAGTGAAGAGATTTATCTACCATATGTGAGGTCTGAAGAATAGTTAGTTGATTGCCTTACTAAAGGTGTTACAAAATCAAAGCTCAATAACAATTTCAACAAGCTAGGCATAATATATATCTATGCTCAAGTTGAGGGGGAGTGTTAAGAGTTTTGAGGGCATTTTTGTCCTTTTATGAATATTTGTATTTGGGCGCCTATTCAAGGGCACCTTTGTAATTTTGCTTGTAAAGTTAAATGAAAAGTCTCTTGGTGCGAACAGAAACACACCAAGCATTCTTGACACTTTCTTCTTCTTCTTCTTCTTCAACATCTTTAAACCTTCCAACTATGCCATTGCCGGAATTCTAGCTTTGGCAAACTATAGCAGCCTGATCCCTCTCCAGGTAGTATGTGATGAGTAGCCCCTCCAGGCCGACCACTTTCCTTTCTTCCCTTCCTCTCCTCTTTCAGTTTTGTAGTCGAACCAATCCCTTAGATTTTTAGGTTCAAGTCACCATTACATCCATTGGCCTTACACTATGAAAGTTAAGGGTTATGCTTTGAAGTTCAAGAATCAAGTGTTAAATGTGTTCAACCATTTTCATCACAAGCATTGAAAGAGAAACTAGAAGAAAGCAAAAGTGGGTGCGTTGGTAGTGGTGGTGAGTTACAAAACTAGAAGAAAACAAGAATACGACATCGAACTTGAGAAGATTGTAAAGACACCCCAATAGAATAGAATTGTAGAGACTAGAGAGGATGAATAACACCATAATAAAGAGAATTAGGGTGCATGCTCTTTCACTCTAAATTACCAAATCCATTTTGGAGTGAAACAATGAGGAATGCAATGGATTTGATCAATCTCTCTCCTTCAGTCCCTCTAAATAGTGATGTGCTAAAGAGAGTTTAGAGAGGGAAAGATGTTTCCTATGAGCATTTATGATTTTTTTGATGCAAGGCATTAATTCATGTCTCAAAAGATGAAAGGTCAAAGCTTGATAGCAAGGCTAAACAGTGTATCTTCATGGTTTATGGGTATGAAGAGTTTGGCTATAGGCTCTGAGACCTAATTGATAAGAAAATTGTCAGAAGCAAAGGTGTTGTGTTCTTTGAGGATTAAACTATATATGACTTTGAAAAGATGGAGAAGCTAAAAGCCTATGCAAGAAGGTTTTTTGGACTTAGGTCTAATTTGTCCACCCATAGTGTATAATGAAAATGGAGGAGATGTGTAGGAAGAACATGATAGTTAGCATAGGAACAATTGAACTGCTAATTCAATACAAGATGATCAAGCATACCCTAAACCACCAATTTTAACTACAATTAATAAGATCTACTAGATAAAGACAACCCTCTAGAATGTATCCTCTAAATGAATATCTACTAGTCACCAATGGAGATGAGCTAGAAAGGTTTGAAGAGGCTATGTCTCATAAAAATAAGATGGAATAGTTGAAAGCTATGCAAGATGATATGAAATCCTTGCATAACAATGACAACTATGATCTAGTGAAATTGTCTCAAGGCAAGCAAAACACTAAAAAATAGATGGTGTTCAGAGTGAAGGCTAAAGGAAATGATGCAAAGCCTAGGTACAAGGCTCGACTAGTTGTCTAAGGCTTCAATCAGAAGAAAGGAATTGACTTTGAAGAAGTTTTCTTACTGATTATGAAGATGTCCTCCATTTGAGTGGTTCTCACTATGGTTGCTAGTATGGATCTAAGAATTGGGCAGCTAAATGTTAACATTACCTTTTTATATGGAGACTTAGAAGAGGAGATATACATGGAGCGACCAAAAGGATTCAAGGTCAAAGACAAAGAGAATATGGTATGCAAATTAAGAAAGAGTCTCTATAGAAATCAAGAAAGCACCAAGGCAGTGGTACAAGGAGTTTGAATCTTTTGTGGTAGACCATAGGTACAAAATAACTACCTTAGATCATTGGGCATTTGTAAAATACTTTTCTAATGGCAATTTTATCATTCTTTTGTTTTATGTAAATGACATGTTGATTGTAGGCTACAATGCTAAGAAAATCGAGAAGTTGAAGGAATTAATCAAATCCTTTCTTGGGACTAGACAAACAAATCCTCAGCATGGGAATTTTCCATGACAAAAAGAGTTGAAATCTTTGGTTATCTCAAGAGACGTACATTAAGAAGGTGTTGAAGAGGTTTACCAGAGTAGGGCTAAAGTGGTCAACTCTTCACTTGCAAATCATTTCAAGTTAAGTTCTTAGCAATGTTTGACAAGTGAGAGAAAGAAGAAATGGTGTACTTTATGCATCAGTCATGGGTAGTTTGATGTATGTCATGGTGTGCATTAGGTTGGATCTTGCTCATGCTATTAGTGTTGTAAGCCGATTTCTCTCATATTCTAGAAAGGAACACTAGGCTATAGTGAAGTGGATTCTAAGATACCTTAGATGCACCTCCAAAGTATGTTTGTGTTTTGGAAATGTCAAGCCTATATTGAACGACTAAATAGATGTAGACATGGCTGGCAATATTGATTATAGGAAGTCTACTACAGGTTATCGTATTGTTGCCTTTAAGGAGAATAGTTTCATGGTAGTCAAAGTTTCAAAAATATGTTGCCTTTGGCTGTATTGTGGATGAAGAAATTCATGCAAGAACTTGGGCTGAAGTAGGAAAAGAAGTATATACTTAAACAGTCAAAGTGCTATCCATCTTAGCAAAATTTCAACCTTCCATTTGAGATCTAAATATATTAATGTTAGATATCACTGAATTCATGATACTTTAGAGATGAAATCTCTCAAACTTGAGAAAATTCATACCATTGAGAATAGCTTGGATATGATGAAAGACTCTGACACTGGAGAAGCTCATTGTTTGCAGAAACAAGGCAGCCTTGGTAGAACCCTCCTCGTGAGTCGAGAAGGGGAGATTTGTTGGATTTTTCCCTCATCATGTAGAGGTGGGCACCACAAATGTTTTGGATCCTGCAAAGGTACGAAGACAAGTTCTTGGCCCCATAGTCAAATGGATCTCGCAAAATGTGAGATTGGGTTTACAAGATTGCAGATTGGTGGATATCACAAAGTGTGATATCGAGTTTGTGAGATTGTAATGGCGGGTATTGCAAGGTGTGAAATATAAATATATATATCCTCTTGTACAAAGATAAGGAGAGTTAATCTTCTTGGTGTGTTTATCCTCCGGCTAAAACAAGAGAAGTTGTAATTGCATTATTGAGAGATATAGTGGAAGTTTTCTATACTAGTGTCCTGTGGGTTTTCCCTTCACATTTACAAAAGGGTTTTCCACATTAAAAGTTCTCGGTGTGCATTCTTTCTGTTCATGTTTTCTTGTTCTCATTCCGTTTTTCTACTTTATTCTCCATCTCTTTAGGTCTATGTGATCTTGGGGTCATCTGGGGTGCTAATAGTACCAACATCATTATCCTACAGGCCAACTAAGGGCCAATAGAAGTCGCTACTGAGAGGAAAGATGAAAACCATCCATACGATATGAGGTTTTTGATAGATAAAAGAACCCATAAGATAAGACGTTGAGTGTAAAATTACCATATAAATTTGCAGACAAAATACCCAATGTTTCTAAATGTGAAAACATGTTGCCCCTGATCACTGGTGTTGCTCTCTGCTGGAAAAATATAATTGAAGTAGAGATGTCCCAAGATGATTTTAATAATCAAAATAATGACAAACTCTTGATTTATTTGTTCCACCATACATTTATCTCGATTTGACAAAAGTTACAGTGATGAGGTTATGATAAAACTTCCTCGAACTTCTATACACTCATATTCCACAGAATCCCAAGTGTTTGATCTTTGTAGAAAAAAATGAAGAATGTAAATACAACTGCACAACATATACATTTTAGAAAAACAATCCAGGAGCTATACAACTACTCCATTCTGTCGTTCAGATAGACAGATCCCGGTCTGGTTGGGAAGAGATGATAGGGCGCTGTGGAAGACTTACTAGTTTGTGGCTCACCTATCAACAGGCTATACATATCAGTCTCACTGACGCTTTCATCTTCACTCTGTTGATAATGATCCCTCACAGCATCAGAGTTCAAATCATGACTGGAGATACTTGTATCTAAAACAAATTCCTGCACTGTAGTCTGTCCTTCAAGCATTCTCACCACAGTAGACATGGTAGGCCTAAGTGATGCAGACGCATTTGTGCATAGAAGAGCAACATTAATCATTGTCATAACCTCTTCATTGTTGAATTCAGGACCCAACCTTGGATCTACTAGATCCATCAAATTTCCTTTCTCTTTCAGAATGAGGACCTAAAAAAATAAGGCAATAAATCATGAAAATTTGTTTATATGAAACAATAGAAAAAAAATAAGAGGAAAGTACAAGTACCCAATCATGAAGATAATCACATTCCTCCTTTCCTAAAAAACTAGTATTGCTTCTCCCACTGACAATTTCCAAGGCAACAACTCCAAAACTATAAACATCTGCTTTATCTGTCAAACGACCCCTCATTGCATATTCTGGTGCCATATATCCGCTGAAATTCAAGACTAACATATATTATCCCCTACCAAGATCATAACTACATTCAAGAGATAAGTAATGTGGCTTCTACAGTTCTATCATACAATGGTTCCCATAAAAGTCTTACTTTTATTTCTGGAAAAGTATGTTCTATGCAACTTTAAACCAGTAAGGAATGCTACACTTGCGGTTCTCAAAAGATCAAATATAGTTCAGAGAAATTCAGGAATCTCTTCAAATGAACAGTCTTCAAGTTTCATAGGAGTAATATAATATTTTTCCCTATTCACCAAGAAGACAAAACAGTACCATAAACAATAAATTATGACATTTTATGTAGAATGTGGAGTATGGTAACTCACTAGGTTCCAGCTACTCGAGTGCTTAAGTGAGTCTTCTCTTCTGGGTCAAGCTTAGCCAACCCAAAGTCAGATATTTTAGGGTGAAGATCTTTATCAAGCAATACATTGGTAGCCTTGATGTCCCTATGAACAATCTTCAACCTTGATTCTTCATGTAGATAAGCTAAGCCTTTAGCTATTCCAACACATATTTTGTGCCTTGTTTGCCAATCCAATTTTAATTGACATTCTTCTGGCCCTTCATTTCATCAGAGCAAAACATATTAGAAAAGTAATCTTTTAGAAACAGAACCTACCGATTCCCAATACAAAAGTAAAAAAAAAAAAAAAACAATTAAGAGAATGACACTTAGTTACCAAATAAAGCATGAGCAAGACTGTTATTTTCCATGTACTCATAAATTAGCAATAGCTGATTTCCTTCCACACAACATCCATAAAGCTTTACAAGGTGAGGGTGTTGGAGAGCAGAAATAATGCCAATCTCATTCACAAATTCACGACTTCCTTGTTTTGATTTTGAAGAAAGCTGCTTAACTGCTATCATGGTGCCATCGGATAGAAGACCCTACACGTGTAGGAAGTTAAGTTTATTGTATGCAAAATTCAGACGGAAGAAATGAATACATTTGATGGCAGAGAATTAGATCAGTGTAACTTTTTATATTTTAGAATACCTTATAAACAGGTCCAAAACCACCTTCTCCTATCTTGTTTGCAGCATCAAAATTGTTTGTGGCAGCCTTAATTTGTCTTAAGGTAAAGAAACCAGTATGTAGGTCTAGACCAGTCATATCTGTCCAAGGAGCTAATAATAGATATTATGTCTCTTAATAAACTAAAAATTGCTATCTGCCTACAAACTTGCATGTACACCAGAACAGTCCAAATCATGATATTGTGAAATCATGTCTTGAAAAAGACAGAATGTCCAAAAGTAAGAAATGCATTTATATATTCCTTCATCTTTTATCGGAATAGTATGAAATCCAAAAACATGTTCTAAAAAGGAGAAACCAAATCCAAAGAATTTCAAGAAAAATGTGAAGAAATATATGAAATAGATGGACAAAAGTTCAGGAAAACACCAAAGGTCAAATTGCCAAACCTTTCTAGAAGAGTAGTTCTTTCTACTGTACATTCTCACTTATTGTGATGATATCAGTGAAGTATATGAGTTTCCATTTGATAAAGTTCAGACCAGTATATCTTTCAGTTTCAGAATAAAGAGGAAGGAAAGAGAGAGAGAAGAAGAGAAGAGAGAGGATGAGAGGAGAAGAGAGAAGAGAAAGAAGAAAGACTGGTTCGACCTGAAAGAAAAATCACCCCTCTCTAGTCGACCAGGTTATATTTATAGGTTTCTCTATAAAAAACAAATTGACTCTTGTGCCCCTACTTAAGTATGGAACACATCACTTAATTTAACATTACACCTCATACTAAACATAAGTGAAAAGACCAAATTGTCCCCATAATCGACACTAACACTCCCCCTCAAGCTGGTGAGTGTATACCATATAATTCCAGCTTGTTACATATGTAGTCCACTCTTGCCCGACTCAACACTTTGGTGAACAAATCTGCCCATTGACTTCCTGTTTTAATATATGCTGTACTTATCACTCCACTAAGAACCTTCTCTCTCACAAAGTGACAATCAACTTGTATATGCTTTGTTCTCTCATGAAAAACTGGATTGGAGGAGATGTTGTAGCTTGGTTGTCACAATAAAGCTTCATTGGAGTGTCAATCGAGTACCCCATCTCTTGTAGAAGATTTCTCAACCACACTAGTTCACAAGTTGCATGTGTCATGGCTCTGTATTCATCTTCTACAATGCTTCTTGCCACCATTGTCTGTTTCTTACTCTTCCATGTCACCAAATTGCCCCCAAGAAAGGTATAATAACCTGTAGTGGACCTTTTGTTAGATACAAAACCAGCCCAATTAGCATCGATGTATCCCTCTAATTCAAGATTTCCCCCACTCTTGTATAACAAGCCACCAATATCATGTACCTCCCGGGATCTTCAAACTCCTCACATGCATCACTACTCAACTTGACATTCAATTCCATTGGTGTTTCAGCTAGTTTGGCACCCAACAACTAGACCTGTTCATGGGCTAGGTCGGGCCGGGCTTTGTATATGTATCAATAGAATATACTCAAGCCAAAGCCCGAGCCTGGCCTAACCATTGGGCCTAAGTCTTGAGCCCGAACCCGGCCAGAAATTTGAAAACAGATTTTTTTCTTTTTTTATTCAATAAAAAAGTGTTTTATTTATATTAAAAACCTTCAAAACTCAAAAATAGTAAACATCTCACTATTACTTGGAGAAAAAGAGAAGAACAAAGAAAAAATATTATATATTTTTTATTAAATAAAATATATTTTTATTATTTAATATATAGTATCAAGTTGGGCTGGGCTTGGGCTGGGCTTTTTTAAGAAAACCCGAGCACAACCCAAAAAAAGTAGGGCCTGGTGCTTTAGGCCCGAGCCCAAGCCTGCGAGCCTAAAATTATGACCAAGCCTGACTTAATAATGGACCGGGCTGGGCTAGCCCGTTGGGCTACCCGGACCATGAACAGATCTACCAACAACCCTATCTCCTCTAGTAGGTCAAGGACATATTTCCTCTAGCACAAGTTAATACCATACTTGGACCTTGCTACCTCTATCCCTAAGAAATATCTTAGTTTACCAAGGTCCTTTGTCTGGAAGTGATCATGCAAAAAGGTCTTCAACCTATCAATCCCAAACCCGTCACTGCCAATAATAACAATATCATCTACATATACCACCAAAAATATTTTCTTAGCACCAGAATCATGGCTGAAAACTGAATGATCGACCTGACATTGTTTCATGCCAAATTTCTTCACTACTTCACTGAATCTGCCAAATCATGCACGAGGAGACTGTTTAAGTCCATAAATAGCTTTCTTGAGCCTACATACCTTACCATCCTCCCCTGAGCAACAAACCCGAGTTGTTGCTCCATATACACCTCCTCAAGAAGATCATGTAAAAACACATTCTTGATATCAATCTGAAACAAAGGCAATTCATACATAGCAGCTAGAGAGATCAAAACACGAACAAAATCAATCTTGGCAACAGGGGAGAAAGTCTCCGTGTAGTCAATGCCATATAACTGTGAATAACCTTTGGCAACCAACCGAGCTTTCAACAGCTCAACACCACCATCAGGTAAATACTTGATGGTGTAAACCCACTTACATCCTACAGCATGCTTACTAGGAGGAAGAGTGGTGAGATCCCATGTATGGTTATGAGCCAGAGCAGAGAGTTCATCTTCCATTGCTTGATGCCATCCTAGAGTGATAAGGGCTTCCTGGGCATCCTTAGGAATGGAAACAGAAGACAACAATGAAACAAATTATCGATGGGAAGGAGAAAGGTGAGATACAGAAACATAATTAGAGATAGGATGAAGGGTGCAACTACGTTTACCTTTTTGTAGGGAAATGGGAAGGTCAAGGTCATAAATAGGGTGTGATGGGGCTGCGGAAACAACTGCCAGATCCGTCGACGGTGAAGAAGCTAGAGGAGCCGGTGTATGTCGACGCGTATACACTTGTTGGATAGGTGATTGTTCAGTGGGAAGTGGCACAGAGGCAAAGGCTGAGGCATAGCTGGAACAAGGGGAATGGGGTCCTCAACAAGAAATGGAATGGAAGAGAAGAAGAAGAAGAAGAGACATCCAACCTAGAAAAGAACAGAACCGACTCAAAGAAAGTAACATCAAGAAACACAAAGCAACGTCGAGAACTGGGATTATAACACTTATACCCTTTTTGGGTCCTAGAATAGCCAAGGAAGACACACTTAATAGATCATGCATCTAATTTGTCCAATCTAGGACCAAGATTATGAACAAAACACGCACATCCAAAAACCCAAGGAGTGAGGGGAAAAGGAGACAATGTAGGCAACAAAACAGATAAGGGAAATTGACCATCAAGGATGGACATAGGCATTCGATTAATAAGCAAGCAAGATGTAAGCACAACATCACTCTAGAAATGTTTGGGTACATTCATATGGTGTAAGAGGGACCGAGCAGTTTCCAAGAGGTGGTGGTTCTTCCGTTCAGCTACCCCATTTTGTTGAGGGGTGTAAGCGTGCAAGAAGTTTGATGAATAATACCATGTTTTAAATATTGTTGAAAAGGTGTATAAAAATATTTTCGGCCATTATCAGGACATGGGATATTAATATGCACACCAAATTGAGTGTGAATTTCAGCATGAAACTTTTGGAAGATAGAAAATAATTCACTCCTTTCTTTCTAGACCTATTCATGGGCCGGGCTCGGGCTTGGCTTTTGCCAAATTTTGGATGGGCTTGGCCCGAAGCCTGAGCCCGACATAGTGTAAAGTCAGGCCCGAAGCCCAGCCCGTGAACAAGTCTATTTCTTTCATAAGATAAAGCCATGTCATCCTTGAATAATCATCAACAAAAATAACAAAATACTTGTAATCATTGTGTGACACTATTTTATTAGGACCCTGAATGTCTGAATGGACCAAAGAAAAATGACTCGACATACGACTATCGACTCTAGGACTAAAGGGAACATGGTGATGTTTTCCATGCTGACACGACTCACAATCCAAAGTAGAAAGACAACTCAAAGCTGGAACAAGTTGCTTAAGAGCTTTAAGAGACGGATAACCAAGTCTATAGTGCCACTATAAAGGAGAAAGAGATGACTGAAGAGTTGTTGACGAACCACCACCACCATCAAGATAATAGGGGTCAGCATTATTTGGTTAAAACCGAAATACCGAATCAAAAATTTTGGTTTTGGTTTTTTCGGTTTTTGGGTAATTCGGTTCGGTTAATTCGGGTTTTAGGAATTTCGGTTTTCGGTTTCAATTTTCAGATTTAGAAATTCGGTTAACCAAAGAAAACTGAATTAATTAAAATTCATTATATAATATGTAATATATAATACGGTTTTATTGTAATTTGGTGTATTTGGTTTGGTTTTTAACCGAATAAACTGAATGCTCACCCCTACAAGATAATACAGTCCACCAGCTTCATGTCCTCCATCAATCTTCATCCCTGTCTTTCGATCCTGAAAAACACAAGATGAGGGGTAAAAAGTGATAGAGCAATTAAGAGGCTTTGTTAATTTACTAACAAACATAAGATTAAAAGGGAATTTGGGAACATACAAAACTGAAGACAAAGAGAGTGAACCAACGTTAACATTACCAATACAACATATGGAAGAAGTGAAACCATTAGAAAGGGTAACATTGTGGGTTGTAGATGATGAAGAAAGAGAAGAGAACACACCTAGAGTCCTAGTCATATGATTGGAAGCTCCAGAGTCAATGATCCAATGGAGGGTTTGGATGCTAGACAAGCCATACCTGAATGGGCAAGTATAGTTGTACTCGACTGAGAAGTAGCCTGGATCAACTGCTCATACTCATTACGTGGAATACTCGTCATCTCTTGCCTAGAGGCATTTGTAGATGTGGAAGGTGTCTAATCAATCTGTTGAATCTCCTGTGCCATACCACCACTAGCCACTGCATGATTAGCCCAGGTTGAAGGTGGGCCATATAGATCATAGCAAAAATTAATAGTATTTCCTTCCATACCACAATGTGTACACTTTCTTTGACCATTACTGCGTCTTCTACCACGAGCTCCCCCTGAATCTCGACCTACAACTCGCCCACTACCATGACTGTACATGTGTCCACCACCACCACGACCGTACATGGGTCCACCACCACCACCACAACCTGGCTGAACCTGATGAGTTCCTCCTTTACTACCACGACCTCCCCCCCTTGCCACTACAAAAGCAGACCTATCAAATATGGTGGGGTTCTCTATAGGTCGAATGGAAATCCTCCGTAGATGGGCAAACACCACTTCAAGGGATAAAAGGGAAGACCCACCTAGTATCTATGCTCTCACGGTTCATATTCAGACTTCAATCCCACTAAAAATCTGGTCATATCAAGCTGCTCTCTTTGTTGTTGCTGAATTTTGACATCAGATGTAAGGGGGTGATACACAATTACACATTCAACTCATTCCTAAGACTCCTCAGAATAGCATAGTACTCCTTAAGACTTTGATTATCCTGTTGCAAATTAAAATACTCTTAATAGAGCTGGTATACTCTAGTGGTGTTGTCCTATCCTGAGTAAAGTTTTTTTGCATGATTCCAAATCTCCTTGGCTGTGTCTAAGAACATGAAATTCACACTAATCTTAGGTTCCATGCTGTTCCATAACCAAGTCATAATCTGTGCATCTTCTTGTTCCCAATCACTGTACTCTGGAGAATCAACTAAAGGTTTGTCTTCTCTCACATGCTTGACTTTTTTCTTAGCTTTTGAGAAAAACTTCAATAGATTTGGCCCAAGGCATGTAATTCTCTTCATTCAGTTTGATGAAGGTCATTGCACATTCAAGTAATCAGGGGGAATCATAACAAACATATGTTCACTGCTGTCTCCCATGGCTTACAAATGATCACCACACTACACTCCTACGGCTGAATGGTCACCACTGTTCCACTCCTACAGCTGAATGACCACCACTGTTCCACTCCTATGACTGACCACTGCTGAAACATTCACTGTCACAGGTTTCAGCAATGGTAATCACCACTGTTCTCCACTTTCGGCACCACACAACAAAAAAAAAAAAAACATCACACCATTATATCCTCATACAACCCACCTATTTGAACCACACAAGTCAACCTCAAAACTGTTAGACCACAAAACTACTGTAGCAGCCCTCTTTGATCCATCGATTAGAGGGTTTTCTACCAGTCACTTGAAACCACCACAGCACAATCAATCGGAAGCATTAAAACCTCCAGAGGAAAAAATGACCACTCCTTTTCAGCCTTTTTGTCAAACTCCAAGAGATCTAAGAGAAATCTGCAAACTACTAAACTAGGGTGAGCAGAAGACTATACAGATCTGAACTAATTTAACTTGGCTCTGATACCATGATAAAGTTCAGACCTGTATATCTTTCAGTTTCAGAATAAAAGAGAAAGGAAAGATATAAAGAGAAGAAGAGAAGAGAGAGGAAGAGAGGAGAAGAGAGAAGAGAAGAAGAGAGAAGAGAAGAAGAGAAAGAAGAAAGACTGGTTCAACCTAGAGAGAAAATCACCCCTCTCTAGTCGGCCAGGTTATATTTATAGGTTTCTCTACAAAAAACAAATTGACTCTTGTGCCCCTACTTAAGTATGAGACACATCACTTAATTTAATATTACACGTCATACTAAACATAAGTGAAAAGACCAAGCTGCCCCTATACAGTCGACCCTAACACCATTGATGTTTCCCTCCCCCTCCTCTTACCAGTCATCCCCACCCTCCTAACAACAAAAAGGAACAAAAATGGATGAATATATATTGCTAGTTGCTCTCACCTTGATCCATTGTGTTTTTGTGACCCAGATAGCCTCTCCACCAAAGGAAACCCAGAACAAAGAAAATAAGCCCTGCTATGGAAACCACAATTCCAGCCACAGTACCTGCAGATATCTTCTTTCCACCTTCTGAAGGAGGCTTGAAATCTGTATTGAGTAAACAATATCAAAATTCATGCTAATTGAATTAGATGATTGTTCAAATAATGTATGATACATAACAATTAGTACAACAGCATACAGGAAAAACAATTTCCAAAAGAAAGTCTTCCATTAAACTGAGAAAGAAAGAGAGAATAAATACAAATGATAGGGAAACAGCCTTAAAGGAAAGATTAATGTCAAATTCATACATCCTAACAAGCCACTCTTTTTGAAAGGTCCACGTTTCTTGAATATTTTTCAAAATTCCTTTTGACATTTGATGAACAGAAGTGTATCCACAACTTTTGTATTTTAATGCCATTTTCCTGCCTTTTTAATGTTGACTATAAAAAATGCCATTACCCAATGTGATCCCTGCTATCTGAGGTCTTGAGCAGGGTGGATTGGATACATACCTAACCTTTGGCATTTTTTTTTCCCACACAAATGTCCTCTCACAGACTTGAACCCACAGTCTCATTCTTATCAGCTTGAGATTTTACTATTACACTAAGCCATGGCCCCTACCTTTTAATATTGACTATAAACTAGGAGGTTCTTCAAAGTGAACTTACTCAAAACAAAACATTAGGAGGTTCTTCAAAGTAAACTTACTAGGCACCACAGAGATGGCTGATATGAGAGGACCATAGATTCCTGGAGAAGGGATTCTTGTTGTCCCTCTCCCAGCCCAATACAAGCGGATTTCTAAAGTGTCATATGTTACATCCACTGTGAGAAATTTCTTCACAACTGCCTTCCCAGCTCCACCTGCTTCGTCTACTATATTGAAATCCTTCAACACCAACTTTTCCTGCATTATGTTTAATCTTAGTTAAACCTGACTTCTATAATCTTTTGAAAGTTCATAACTATACAACATGGTTTACCTGAATATATATATCGAATACACGCCTTGCAAGGCCTGTATAGTTACTATCACTAGTAAACATGATCTCCGCAAAATGAAGGCTCACAGTGTAACTCCCAGTCAGAAGACAGTATACTACATAAGTGAGAGAGACGGGAGAAATGCGTGCCGTTGTGTATAACAAAGCATTATTCATTAACAGTGCAGAGATATTTGTTACTATAAAGGTATCTTTAGGATTGTCATTGTCTGTGAAGCTACCAGTGCTGCTAAATGCCCAATTGTTAACAGGCAAGTATTTTGCAGGTCCACCAACGTCTTCATCAGCTTCATATTTACTACCATTAAATTCTGATTCTTTTCCACCACAATTTATATGGAGCTCATACAATTCTAGCACCAAGAAACAATGGATTAGAACTAACTGGACAAAACCAAGGAAAGATAACATAGTTAAAATTGTAACTGGGCCTAGCATAGTCCAATTAAAAGCTGATGGTTAAGTAAAAGCATATGACAGAAGATTTCATGTATATTTTGGCAATAGCTTGTTCAAAATAATAGTGATGTTTTTTCACCTGTATGAATATGTCCCTTCTAGAGAAGAGGTATTTTCCTATATCAATATTCTCTATTTTAATCTGTCCTACCACCTATGAATGTCCCTTCAAGTGTGTCTTTCAAGAAAAAGTGTGCTGGATTCTTACTTTCCCCTTTATTGCAGTGGAAATTTCCAGCCATTGAACTCAGGATATATATCCTTCCTTTTTCCTATTTTTGATTGATTACATGAAAATTATATTGAAGATGAAAGGGAATTAGTAGGTATAATTACCTAGACTTGCAAAATGGGGGAAGACAAGATGAAAGACAACAACAAAATAAGGGCTGGGGGGGTTAAGGAGATGGGGAAAGGGCTAAGGGGGGGAAGGGGAAGACAATATGAAAGATAACATCCAAATAAGGTAAATGATACATGTATAAAAATCCAAAGCATTGTCGTGACTGAATATCCTAGGGGGAGTCCAAAAGTTTTTTGAGCTCCATAATGTAGTGGTCAGGGGCTAACATTTTTTTTTGAAGAGGCAAAATATTGATTCTTTAAGAAAAAAAAGAAAAGACCCATGCACAACCAGAGGCTATACACTGGGGAATACGTAAACAACCAGAGGTTAACAGTTCCATCAGATGTTTACATTATCTTTTCTTTTCCTAGAAATCCATTTGAAAATATAAACCAAAGAGGATATCATAACTTAGTGATCCATTGTATCAGGTTCCCCAAAATTTGAGTGCTATATTTAGATGCATGAAAAACCATAGAACAGGGTTAAGCAATCTAAGAGGTCATCTATGTTTATGGTTAAGTATACAAAAACTGTTGTGTTGGTACCTTGGATTCTAGTTGAGATCCGCTCCATGACCCAACCTGAGAAAGGTTGAGAGAACCCCAAGGCAAGATTTCATAGTGGTTTATGATGGAAGAAGAGGTATGGACTCACAGAGACAAGTGGGGTTCGCTAGTGTCCAGAGTCGCAAACAAGTGGATCTTGCAATATATCAGACCTCGTAGCTTACTTGATCTCATGGATCATCTAGATCTCATGGGACTCTTCTAGACTCACTAGTCCTTTGGACTCATGGTAACCTGGTATCGCAGGCTAATCTTGCAGCTGGGACTCGCCGATGTTGGGATCGCTAATCTCTGGACTCACAAGTATGATCTTTTTTTTTTGATAAATTGATAAATCTCACAAGTATGATCTTGCAGGAGAAGGAAGATAGTTCCTTGACAGGTAGTGGGGACCAATCTGATTTAGGGGTTTTTTCATATAAATAGCCTTGTACCTTGCACAAAATGTCAACTTGTGTCTTGGGGGTCCAAGAAAGAGAATAAGAGCATGTGTGAGAAACATGGTAGTGTGAACTTTGGGTGTATTGGGAACTAGGGTTTTGGTGAGAGGTTGTGAACACGAGATCAGATTTGGTCCTCACAAAGTTTGCAGCCGTACATGGGAAGATGTTCTCAATGCACGGATGAAGTGCTATGAGGATGGTGTGAGGACCAATTTTGTGAGGACAAAATCCAGTTTCTGTGAATACTATAACTGTATTCCACTGCTAGTAGTAGATTTTTTTCTCTTCTGATGCCCATGGACATAGACTATAAGCCGAACCACGTAAATCTCTGAGTGTGCTTTGTGTTCTCTGTTTTGCATTTTTTGTTTGGTTTTCTTCTACTTTCCAATCCATTTTTCATTCCTGGGCTTGTTAGAACCTCAACAAAAAAACCTTTTCAGGGGATCCAGCCTAGTTCTTTTTTTTTTATGTTGGATCATTATTTTCTTAATTGTACAGTTTTTGTTGCTTTATTTTGTATAACACAACCATACAGCTTCTCAGTTTACATGGGCTGATTTTATATTTTGGTTTCTTTGATCAATACAATATATTGCCTTAACAGGGTTAAGAGGTGAAAACAGCAAAGAAAGTTTTGATTCTTCTCTTGTACCTCAAAATGTTAATGTGGAAAAGAAGATCTTTAACTTGCAATGCCATTAGGGCCTAAAAGATTTTAATTGCAAGATTTAGGATGGGGATCTGTCCTCTAGTTCTCCGATGGGTAGCATCTCTTAGGAAGGATGGGATAAACCAAAAAGAGAGGAACATTAGGTAGAAGAAGCATTTAGCAAGGTAGAATATGGTGCACCTAATTGAATATAACCAACCCAACATAATAGAGTGGGTTATCTTTCGTCTCTCTCACAGTATCTTCCTGCCTTTGGGTGAGAGCCTAACCAACTTTTCATGGGGCTATGTTCCCAAATAGAGCTATTTAGATTATTTATTTGCGTTATAAAATTGGGTCATTACCAATGTACACCCCAGGCTTCCCAGCTATACAGGGTCTTGGAAGGGGTGTACTAGATAAGGACCTAAACTCCAGCATTTTTTGCACAAAAGTGGCTGCTCTCAGCCCAATATTTTGCCATTTTATTCTTTCATATTTTACCTACAGGAGGGAATTTGTATTAAGGAACTTTCTAGGCACATTTCCTAGAGGAGAATAGTATGGTAAGAAAATTTACCAAAAAGCCCATCTATGGGCTAAACAGTCACACACAAAACGTTTTTATAAGTTTGGTGATGCAGTAATATTATGCAGGTTCAAAAATACTTCTTCCTTGAGTGGTAAAACTCCATTGTCCCATCACGGGCTTGGTGAGATGCCATTCTCAAGGTGGTTTTGGGCAGTAAGACTAACCATTGTCTTCCTCCTTTCTCTGGTTCTTTATTTATTTTTCCCTGCTAGTTTTTTTTTTTCTTTCTTTCTTTCTTTCTTTCTTTCCATTTTGGAAAGACCACTGTGAAAGCATTTTTAGCTTGAAGGTTTGCAACTTGAACAACAGAAACCACCTCAGAAATTATATCTCCAAGTAGAAAAATGGTCAATAAGCTTATGTATTTAATCTTAACCTATATTACATTTGCAATTATAGTTGTTAGCCAGTTAATGCCTTCCATTATCAACCACGAAGATGGGAAATTTTTTGAATATCAAGACATTTAAATGTACATTCTAGAACATCCCTTCTGTTTTAATGCATCATATTAGCTTGAGGTTTTTACCTTCTATAATGTTGATTACACTGATAATAAATTAGAGGAAAATCTATCTCTGGGTATATATCACATTCATTGCATTCAGCAGAAGTAAGATGCACAAATAGTATCAGAGAGACTTCCTGGGCGATAGGAGGATTCTCTGTTCGCAGAACCACATCTCTTCTCGTCAGTTTTTTTTTTTTATTTCCTGGACTGTGAAGTGAAACAACTCATTCAGACTGGTCAGAATAGTTTGATTTTTTTCTCTGGGTTCTTCCTTGGTCGTAACACCAAGGAAACCCTAGTTGTTTACAGCCGATGCTGTGAAGACTGCTTTTTGTTATGTTCAACCTCGTACAGGTGCTGTACAGGAGTTGTGACTCCTTAGTGACAAGTATGTGCTGGTATGTTCTGTCCTTTAGTGGTGTGTGCCTTGTGTGGTCTAATGATGATTGAAGATTGAAATTTTTTAGTCTGTTAGTTGCTGGTAGTGTGTTTCAGCAGTGGTGTTCCATTATAGGAGGCAGATTGGTGTGTGTTTTGTGCCCTACTTGTGTGTTGGGTGGTAGAAATAGGGTGAAGACATATTTCTGGGTACATCAGTGGTTCTTTAATGACTTGTATAACCTACTTAATATGGCAGCTGAAGATTCAGCTTATCTGGGGTTACATCAACCCGTGGTACAGCTGGTATGGGTGCTGATAAATATGTTTTTCCCGATGCCAATCACCCCTTTGAATGGTCTGAACTACGTAGAGTGGGCTCAAGGTGTGAAATTATATGTTACAGCTAGGGGAAAAGCTGGATACATAAATGGGAAAGTGAAAGAACCTAAGAGTGGGACAGCTGAACATGATAGGTGGGACCAAGAGAACATTATGGTGATGTCTTGGCTCTTTGTAGACATGGAACCAGGTGTAAAGAGGATTTTTATACGGGCAGAGACTGCAAATGAGGTATGGGAACAAGCCAAAATAACCTATTCTGAGCAGAGACACTATGCTAAGATTTATCAGTTACAGGCTGAGTCCTCAACCTGTAAACAGGCCAACAGGGTGACTGTAGTTTTTCAGCATATTATTCAGCTCTTACCTCTATTTGGAGGGAGTTGGATCACTACCAAACTATAGAATGGAAGAATTATGATGATGCCAAAAGCTTAGTTCAAGAGGTGTGCTGCCAAAGGCAAATATGTAATTTCTTACTTTTTAATTTTAATCTCTCTGTTATGAATATAGAGCTGGTAGCTGCCAGTAAGGTTTTTGGCTCTTGAAATAGTCTTTCTCTCCCCTCCTTCTCTTCTTCTCCCTTCTCTCTTCTTCCTCTCTTCTTCTCTTTTTCCTAGAAGAAAACATCTACCTTGTACAAAAGCTCCTTGAGCTTGACTAATGAGGGACAATAGGACCACTTTGATCCTCAAAGGCATCACCTTTGCCAAAAGTTTATGAATGCTAGTCACCAAACTAATAGGCTTGTAGTCTTTAGGGTGTTTAGTGATGAGGGGTGATTTGGCCCGACCTGATAAACAGAGGACACGTGGATGTAGCCCACTAGCTGGAGGATGACTCAGCACCACGGTCACCTCGGCGAGTTTAGTTACTTCGGAATCCCAGCCACCTCGGATGGCACCAAGCTCTGGGCACCTCGGATGACTGAGGCTAATCAAGCGACACATAGAAGATTCCTAGGAGCCAGCCAGCTATCTGTGAACCTTTCGGGATCATGCCACGTAACCGTTAGGTTTAACTTCATCCCGTCCGAATCGGAGGGAAATGGTAACCCCTAT